TGTCGCTCCAAAATTGATCTCCTCACCTAAAATGAATGTCATCTATGTAAATATGTAAAAAGGATTTGTTAATTTCGTATTTGGCTTAATTATTAGATTTGATTTTATGTTTATATGATTTCTTGTTTAATAAATGTTACTTAATAAGATAAACTATATTATTTATAATATCGGCTTTTCTAATTACAACTGACAGGAATCTTGGGATAATTCTACAAACTAGCCACCCGGAAGCAAACAACGTTACCCCTCAAAGTGAGGCAGTTATGTATTCGTGAAAAAATTTTGAAATTTTTTATTGCATTTCTGGACGAATCTCGATGCATTATGACGTTACACAAAATTTCAGACAGAAAAAATTTTTTGTCTGTGTATCTGTCTGTCTGGTTCGCGATAGCAGCTACAGTTTTTGAGATAAAGCTGTCAAATTTGATAGACACATTCTAGAGGTCAAGGAAAGAGATTGAGTTCGTTGAAGAGCAAAATTGGTCCCAATTTTTGAAATGTAAAAAATAAGACTTTTTGAAACCTCAAAGTAACTTTTTTGAAACATCAAAAATGTGACATTTTTGAAACGTCAAAAGTGTGACTTTTTTGAAACGTCAAAAAATGTGACTTTTTTGAAACGTCAAAAACTACTTTTAATATAAACTCCACCACACGTCGAGGAAGTTCTGATCCCCATGTAACTGGCAGCGGTTTTAAATATCGTGTTATTTTGCTTCATAAGTGACATATGTTAAATTAAAATAAAGATAAGATGAACTAAGCATATTGTAGGTAGATCAATTTTGACTGGAAAATAAATATTTTTAGTATTTTATTGAATATCAGTTGTAAGAGGCGACTAATTTTCTGATTTGGATAAGATCTTGTAGGTACTCTAAATCAGTTTTCTGTTGAATTATCATTTTAATTAAATGTATCCAGTTTATGCGTTAATATCTGCCAGTGCTTGAGAATAACTTATACCTATCTAGGTGTAGATATATGTGCATTATATGTGTACAATATTTGCATGTGTTAATTTGTAAATTAATTGCACAGTGAACAATTTACGGTCACATGTACAGACTGAATATGTGTCGCATCTAAAACGTTCCTAAAATGATTCTATTAATTTGTTAATAACAATGTAATTATTAGTCAACAAAATCAATATTATTTTTTACATGTGTATAGTTTTATTAATGATTTTGTGCTTGAAAGGCCCGGGTTACTATTAAGTTGTTTTATTATGAACATGTTAAACGCAATATATGTTGCATGGAAAAACAGAATATGATGCTTTAGATGTTCCAATTTCAATGCGGCAAAAGGTGATAAAGTTATCAAAATATCTGATATACAGGACAGACGGGAACAACTAAAGGATCATTATTTTGTTTTTGCATGCCATATCAGGGTGTGATACTACATCCCTTGTGTTCAATAAAAAAATATTGCCTGTGTCTACTAAAAAAAAATAGGAATTCTGTCAAGAAATCGAGGTGTTTTTAAATAAAATTGCTGAAAATAGTTCTGTTTTTTTTTTAATGATGTCGGTCCTCAGGAAATATTAAAAGCATCAACCAGCTATGTTTTGATTTGTACAATAATAAAACTACGTCAAGGCAAGGAATAAAAGCGTCATCCAGTTTTGCTAAGTTGCCTTCTACTGAAAACTCTGCAAAGCATATTTTTAGGTATAAAAGTGACAGATAAGTGATGTTCTCGCAACTAATATGTTATCATTATCCTAATGTAATTCGAAGTTTCATAGTTACTTTCAAGGCTTTCTAGGAGCCACCTTGACGAACAAAAATGCAGAGATAGGTTTTAAAGTTTTAGAGTGATTGTTCAACTGGTATGTACTTTTGTTTTATTTATTTTTGGTTTTACTGAACAGAATAGTTAGAATTAAAAATAGAAATAACAGATTATTGAGTTAGTCGTACATACTGTGCATATTATCTTTTTTTAGATTCCAAGTTTCAGCGTTTTGGCAAATAGCCAGGAAAATAATTGTTTAAAAAGATATGTGATACTTATCTGTGATAAGTATTATTGTAAATGTTAAAAAATAATAATTGGCAAAAAATTTGTAGGGTTATTATATTTCATTTCATTCAATATTTTAACATTTTACCTAATTTGTTTTATTTTTCTTGTTGATAGTGTACTCTTTAGAGTAGATAAGCTGTATTACACGCTCCTTATAGTAGAGGATCCGAATTAAAGACGACCTTGGGTAAATGGTATACTTCTTGATGCAAATATATTTACAAACCTTTATATCTCTTTTTTAAAACTAAAGATATAAATCTTACACCAAAACGTAGAATTTTGTACCCTGAATAATAAAGACGTATTTAATTTTTTTTTCTAAAATTTTATTTAACAAGATATTTGAAAAAGAAATTCAAGATGGCAATATTTTATTTACTATATTTTTTTTTATTTTTCCATTTAAAAAAAATGTATTCCACTAATAAACATTTGTTCTTCAATTCTCCACAAAAGATATCCCTAGAATTTTTTCTTAAAATACACAGTTACTAAGATATCTCAAAAAAAACAAAAAGAATTCAAGATGACGCATGACGGCCATTTCCTGTAACTTCGCCCACTGGTTACGAATGAGGGTTCTGGCAGATTAAAAACAATGTTATTGTCTAAATATTCCCAGTGAGATCAGCTTGTTACTAATTTTTCTACCCCACCCCATTATAACATACAAGATTTACCGGGCTATAAGACAAACTGAGTATTTAAATATACGTTTGTTTTCAAATCTTTGTAAATAAATTTGATCAATGTTTGTAATTTCCATTATAATGCAAAAGTAGAAAAGACGAGAATTTTTCTTATTTATTCACCATCGCATTTAATATAGATACTTACATTGTCCATGTTATGGCAATTTATATTAATTCAATAAAATTACCCGCTTTACACGAAAAACAATTCCGCTGTTTCCGTTGACTGCATCTCATAACGAGTGCCCGGACGTGTTCACTTTTATGAAGGCAATAGTAAAGCTGGTTTTAAAATGGCTGCAATATTGAGCGGTTTGCTTTTATTGTGAAAACATAACCTCAATGTTTCCATCCGACCGCCTTGATCTCATTATCTGCACTCTTGGAAGCCTACAGGGCTGGTATACGGTCTTTCGGGTCACAAAGGCTCTATACTCATATCGTATATTTTAATATATCCATAATATTGAATGGGGTTACGAAGGATTTTAAGGATCGGTTTAAATCGAAATAAATGGGTATTTCTCGTACATAATAAATTCCCATTTATATGTGGGTTTACAAAAAATTTAATCGCTTAACGAATGAACCTGTAAAAGATGGATTTAATACCAGGATTATAATATACAGACGCAAAACTAAACGATAAATACTTCTACATCATACAGGATGTACCACAAACAAGACAAAGCAAATATTATATATACCGTGTTTATTATATATAATTACATTAACTAACTATAGGAACAACAATAACTTTGCTGTAACTGTAATCACAAAAATTTGAACAACATATTTTTATCTACGTAGTCTAAATATATATAAAACATAAAAATTTTATTGAATCATTTATATATGAAATATTTTGATATACTTTATTGTTGTAAATATTCTGGTACACCTTACGGGTTATTGTTGTATACATTTTGGCATATTTCATGGGTAATTATTGTACCATGTGTTTAACATAAATTACCAAATTTTCATATTTGTATTGTATCTATCACAATATCTTACATCATATATTCGATTGTTTATTCATAATTTTCGGTATGCATTTAATTAAACTTCTCAAATAAAAAAATTATTAAACAATATAATACATTTACCATTCATTTATATAGTTTTATCTAGTTTTATAACTATAAAGATCAACCTCACTGCTTTATTCACTAAAGAGGATTGGAGCTCTCATATAACTTGGTAAAAATTGCGACCATTAACTTCAATACTTTTACTTGAGCTAGCTTTATCCAACACACTTAACTGAGCCCTTTTTTTTAGAAAGAGACCAAGACTTTAAACTGACTATTAACTTCGACATACATATATGATAACATTTTATCCAGATTGACAGTAGAAGCTGTGTACTGATTACAAGTTCATAAATATGGATTATTTCGATTCCTTCTTTAGAATATAAACTATGTGAAATAAATTAGCAAGATTTGAAAAACAACAAAACGCCAGAGGTGCAAACTTCTTAAACGAACACGGTATACAGGGCGTTTTTAAATTGCTATGATTATTATTAAATTCACAGACAAATGTTACATGCAAAAATATAAATACGTCATATTAACACGTGTCCAGGAGTGCTACCTAAAGGAGCTATGACAATTTGAAACGGAGTCAAAAAGTGGTTTCTATATAATATGGTAGGAAGTTTACAAACTAGGGTTGCGACAAAATATACATGGAGGGTACTAACAAATTTTATCCGTATTTTTTGTTTGTTAATTTTTTCTAATTTGAAACAGGAACTGGACTTTTTTTAGAAGTACCTAAAAAGTTCTTTGCGATTACGTCTTAAGATTAGCTGTTTTCGAGTAAAATACATGGACCTCACGTTGGATGCCATATTATCCTCGATGAACGTTAACACTTCTTAACACTTCTTAGTGACGTGTGTTTAGCCTTGATCACCAGTAACAATAATCGTTTCAAAAAATAATCTTATGGGTTACCGTGTGCTTCAGGGTCGATTCGCTCAAAATCTTAATTTAATTTCAAAAGGACCAATCATTCAAGTTCTTCAACCAATAATTGAAACAAAGTAGGGTGTCAAACCTCAAAAAGTTTTTGAAGAAAAATTTGTCCGTTAAATTACACAAATTAAATTAAGCACCACAGGTAATAACCCCCTGTATTCCTAAAGGTACCTAAAGATGCCTTGTGTGGTGGAGGGCTACAAACTTAGAGACATGGGACACATACAATGTCCGAGTATATTAGGATTAATTTCTAGTTAGAAGAAATCCTAGCTCCTCGACCGGGAATCGAACCCGACACGAATGAGAGGCAAGTGTCCTTACCACTAGACCACGAAGTCACTGTTGAATTTAACAACTGCCAAAAATGTTATAGAACAGATTTTGAGATTAGAAAATCTTAAAAAATGTACATCGGTATCCTATAAGATTATTCACTGTAACGATTATTATTGTTACTTGCGCCCAAGGCTAAGCATATGTCACTAAGAAGCGTTAACCACTAAAAATAACAGTTTTACACGAATTTCGTACACGTAATACACACAATATCCTCAACACTATTCACGGAATTGCATAACTGATTGATTTTAAATAACTTCACAGAAAGTAATCTAATGGATTTAGATGAGATAAAAGGCAGGAAATGACGTAAGTCTACCCCAGCCTGCTCAGGCGATTAGGAAAATGTATGGTTTAGGTGTTCCTTTATCATAGTATAGTTTATAGTAATATCTCCGCTAAGAAGCTTACTTCTCATAAAATGTTTGGATTCGTCGTTTGTCTCTATTTATTTACTGCATTATACATACTGTGCTTCTTTCAGGCATTGCTATATGTAAAAAATACTTGTATTAAAGAGCATACTCTGATTGCTCTGTTTATCTTTTGACTATCTTCTTTATTTTATGGGTTCAAACATATATCTTATGTGTTTAGTGACCTGCTGTATTGGGAAAAAAAATAATTATAAAGCCTACTTTGGATGTGAGCATAAAAGGATAAAAATAACAAAGTCACGTATGAGGCAGAGAAAGACTTATACATCGCCGTTGCCTTTTTGTTTTTGTGAAGTAATGTGGGCACGCCTTATCGTCTCCCTTCCCCTTTTACACTCAGTTTATTATATATAGGATATACAATTACTGTACGTCATTTGCTGTATTTCAGGTGTGGGTTTGATAGCCAATACTATTATTCCTCTGTAGGATCTAAGATAAGTGCCTAATACTCATAACAAATTAAATTTAAGCAGAAGCCACTTTGAGATTAACAACACCTCATAAGCTGTAATTTCCCTCCAGTACTGGGTGTGGAGTGTGGGCGACAATGGCACATCAATGGCATGTACAGACTTTGTAGTATGTTTGCACAAGCATTTGAATCATCGAGGCGTTACATCTACAATAAATAAAGTGAGTGTAGAAATGGATAGGGTACGATGAGGCGTACCCTCGTTATATTACAAACACAACGTATAAAAAGGCAATAGCGACGTATAAGTTTCTTTCTGTCGCATACATGACTTCATTTTTATTCTTTATGCACACAGCCAGAACAGGCTCTTAATTTTTTTTCCAATACTGTATATCGATATTACAACTTAATCGGAAGAGGTCAATTAAAACAGAGAAACTGTATTTTTTTTAATATAGTCAGAACTCTAAAAGAGAAAATATGTATGACAATGTTGGACAAACAAAATAAATATGCTGTAACTATGATTAATTGATAAGTTAATTCCAATTAAAAAACAAAATCCATTTAAATAATTTAATTAAACAATATCGCAGGATGCAAACATGCACAGTATAAAACGCCATTTATTAAATGAAAATTAAACGAATAAACTGATCGAAGTTTTTTGTGTTGATGGAAAATATTTTATATTTCTACGTGAACAGCAAAAAGCATAGCAGTTTTTAATTAATTTTTCAGAATATTACGAATTATAATGAGGGTCTGTAGTCTATTATGTGTTGGATATGGTGTCTAACTTAATAACAAAGTCCGGTGAGTAACTTATATAAACCTTATTAATAATTCCTTTGCATTCTGGGAATTAAGGCCTAAATAAATACATGGCTGTCTAGAGTACCTCTATGAAAGCATCTGGTGCTCTATTGTGTTACGTTGTTCATTATGCTAAATGTGGACTTCTATTAAATTTTTATTCACACACGTTTACTTTATATTAATGATATAGAAAAATGTCAACTTTTTCTTCCCAATTTTATAATATATTCGGAAGACAGATTGGACACAAATCCTAATTCTTTTTTTTTAATCATTAAGCTATATGGCCGTTACTCCATGGTTCTGTTTAAATTTAAACATATTGCAATTATTGGCCAAGTAATTTAACTAAGCAAAATAAGAAACTGTACAAAAATTTTTGACAATTATTTTGTGTTTTCTTTTTAATCATTTATTTAACATCCGCCTATTTTCACTAGAAGGGCCAATCACTGACGCCAGGAGACGAGCTACCCCCAACCTGGAAATTTTGCCAGATCACTTTTCTTATCTTCTATCGAAGAATAGGGACTTTTTACTTGCGTAACATTTAATAGACAAGAGACCAACTGTTTTATATCCCTTCCGTAGGATGGTATATCATCTACACAACCCACGCCTAATATTGCATAACTTCTGCGTATACGCTGATATAAACTGGTAGAAGACGGGACGAGATCGCCGAGTTTCTGTCACAAATAGGACAAGAGTTGGTTTGTTTTGAAGACCTGTTTTTTTGATTTATTTCTTCTAATTAAGTTGGGCGCCATGTGACTTGCTGCCACGTAAATAATTTTAGTTCTGTTGCCTTGATATTTGATGGTAAGAATGGAATTTTCTCAAGGTCGATTTTGTGTATACGGAGAGGTAAGGTAGCCTGTTCTTAACCTCGATGGAATTTATGTGTGCCTTTGGCTATGCTGTCAGAACTGAGCAAGACTTCAGCAACTTCTTTTCGGCGGTCGTGACTTGAGATACTTGTTTCTACCTCGGACTTTGTAGCTGAAGGGTTTATTTAACCGGCTTGTTGCTTTTTATTTATTTACTAGGGCTAAAAAAATTGCACTGCCAAATTACCAGGGACTCCCTGTCCCTGGTAATTTGGTTTTTCCTAGCCTGAAAATGACTTTAAGGGAATACTGAAAATATTTTTTCAGTCAGCTTTTATGTAAAAATAAAATTAAACAGGTTGTCTGCACTACGAAATTTATTTTTTCAAAGTCGCTGAAGGCCAAAAAATAATTTGAACAGAGGTTCCTTACAAAATTGAATGTTACTAGTGAGATTAGGTGGTTTGTGAAATTGTAATTTATTTGACCAAGTCATTAAGACCCAAAAAATAAAATTGGACATGGAGTCCTTTCGATGAACGTAAAATTCACAATCATCACAAAAAACATTTGAAAAATTGTTGAAATTCAGCAGACTGGACAGCAAGTTGACCTACAGCTCAGATATTACTAGCGTGCCTAAAAGGTCGCGCAAGACTTCACAACTTTTCTTAATAATGAACGATTTGTGAAACCAAAAAAAAAAAAATTTATCAAAATTTCGGATTCAAAAAAGAAATTGTTTGAGCTGTGTATCTTTTTATATTTAATTTTATTTTATTAAAATGAAAAAAATTTTCAAATTAATTTTCATTTCGTTCAAGTAGAAAGTTATTGAAAATTTAAAAAATTAATTTTTCTATGTCTTGGTGGATTAATATAATGATTTAGATGAAATTTATATTTTTGTAAAAATTTTGGCTGTCGATCCTTCAAACTCAAAGTATTTCAATAAATTCTGAACCTTTTATGGCAGCCTAGTAAACACCCGGGAAAATTAAAATTAACCAAATTTTGTTGAATAAATGAATTTCAAGTCAAGTGAAGCTTCAATTGTAAAACAAGTTAAATTTTTTAATATAAAACTGAGGTTCGAGAATTTGTCTTAACTCCTAGCCTCGCGAAAAAATAGTTTTCAAAAATGATGCTAAGTCTCTAAGTATGTAAGTCAATTCCTTACCTTGTCCTTGGAGATCTCAGATGACGACGTTCTTTTGCATAAACGTTTAATTTTTTATTTTTAGACAACCTACGTCCGTAGGAGACTGCTTGTGGTTTTTAAGTTTAATAAATCAAAAACAATGTAGATTTTTACAGTAAAATCTGATGACGGAAGACTCCTCAAGCCAAAATCCACAGATGATAAAACTGTCGAGGAAGTGCTTCTGATTTTCTGCGGTGAATGTTTTAAAATCATTTTATAGGTGGTGGATGCCGTTTTCGTGTCTTGAATATCAAAAAATAACCCAGCATGGCGCGTGGAGAAATTTCTTATTGCCTATTTTACGACTTCTGGGGTTCGCGTGAGATCTATTTCCTGTGAAGGAACTGTTCTAAGGGCTCTAGATCAGTTGGTGTTTAATAATGGGTTCACACCCGATTCTAAGTTAATTAGATGACGTTCTGCAGAGGGGCATCAAGTCTGTATGAATACAAAAAAAGTGAAAAATTATACTTAAAAAATGAATTTAGTACCACGATGCTTGCTCTTCAGTGTCGAGTGGTGTAATTATAATTTGAAAAATGAATGTAAAACTTATAAAATGAATTTAGTACCTCGACGTTCTCCAGTGAAGCCGTGTGGTAGAATTGTCTTAACTTGCCTGAAATTTTTGTATTTATAGGGGTTGTGTCGTCATCTATTGCGATGTTAAAATGATGTCATGTTTTTTGAAAGTGCGTAGTAAAATAAAATCTACCCCACTTGAAAGCTTCCGATTTGCCAAAAGCTCCCGATACGGCTGTCTGCCTGATCCGCTACACGGTGTACCAACCTCCAATTTTACAAGTTTAAGTCTCGTATAAATAAATCTAGCGGGTAATGAGGCGCTGTAAAACAATGATTGTTGCCTAAAATTATAATTATTATTTAGTCTTAAACTATTTTACTTTGATATTAATTTTTATTTATTTAATTGACTTTGTAAAAATTAATTTCTTGGTTTGTGCGACTAGCATATTTTAAAATTTGTGTTATAGAAATACAAAACTTTAACTTTTACTATTTTATGATGGCTTTGGCCTCTGATAATTATTTACTTCTGTCGTTCAGACCGATTTGTAATTATTGCTTATGAACGTCTTTATGAGCTTTGGCTATTTTAATGTTTGTAAGTACACCACGACGCTCGCCGTCGCGTTTATGCCGCGGAGGATTTTTTTAATGAAAATTAATTTTTACTATTTCGGCTTTTAAATATCGGAGAATTGAAATAAAAAATTGCGGTTTGAAGTTTTGAATATGGTTTTTTAGTCTTTTATCTAATTTACTATAT